TTAGGGTTCTTCATGAAACTAAAAGGGAACTACCAGCAATAGGATTGCTGGGTCTCATTCCAAAGGATGAGGATGAAGTCTATTGAAAATAAATAAATCTGCCCTCTCATGTTTACTGCGGGTTTAAACTGTCTTTGTTTTCTTTTGATTATCCAGAAGGCAGCCATCTTCTTGGCTGTTCTCATAAGGTTTTTTCTATCCAGCTAGTTCAGTCTGTTCTGCTTTTTCTTCTCATCAAATCAGATGGCATGTGAACTACCCACCTGCGCACAGTAGTGTACTTCCATGTACTGAAGAAACAGATTCAGAATGGCTTGCACTATATCCTTAGTAACTTCTTGCCAAACCAAAGTTTGAGATGCTTCCCAAGAAATTTTGCGCCCCTTCCAGCTACTTGAAGCACTATCGAGAATACTTTTGGTTACTGAGTTTTCTGGAGCATTTGGATAGATTACAGGAAAATGAAACAGCCTATTAACTTAATTCAGTCCTGGAAGAGCTGAAACTAAAATACCCAGTTTCCACATGTCCCCATCTCATAGATTATGCTGAACAGCAGTAAACAATTTAGACCGGCTTGGGTATGACATGAAGCTTCCTCTTGGCTATTTCTACAGCTTCACATTGAATGGAAGGAAATCACTTAAGCCCACAAAACACTGCCTGGCAGGAGGTAAAATGCCTTGGTTGGCTTCCTGCCCCATCTCTCCCACACCCACAGCTGGGACCATTTGGCCCCCAGGTCAGCCAGGCCTGAGACCCTCCCTGCCCTCCATCCGGCTGAGTTCATAATTCCAGTCACTTATAGAGGAGAAATGTGTTAGGGGGACTTCAGAGAACTGAAGATTTTTAGATTTCAATGAATTGGGTATTATCAGACACATGCACAAGGCCAACAAATATGAAATGTGCATACAAGTCTTCCCTGGGAGAGTGGTAATAGAATCTATTGCTTTATGCATGCATGTCTCGCACTGATAAATTGGACTGCAATCAAACCTATCAAATATGCCTTCCTCCTCAGGTAACATGCATAACTGAGGCAGGTCAGGTTTATTTCATAATGGCTGCTTAGTTTTCTTTGTTTTCGGTACAGACTTACTTTATTTGCACATGTAACATGTAAAAACATGTTCTCTACCTTTCTTTAAACTTGGCCTTCTCTCTATATATTTTTTGTTTACCTTTTTTTTTTTTTTTTTTTGAGCCAGAGTCTCTCTCTGTCACTTGAGCTAGAGTGCCTTGGCATCAGCCTGGCTCACAGCAACCTCAAGCTCCTAGGTTCAAGTGATAGAAGATGAGTCTCCTGAGTAGCTGGGATTACAGGCATCCACCACAAGGCCTGGCTAATATTTCTATTTTTAGTAGAGATGGGGTCTCGCTCTTGTTCAGGCTGGTCTTAAACTCCTGAGCTCAAGTGAAGCTCTGGCCTTGGCCTCCCAGAGTGCTAGGATTATAGGTGTGAGCCACCATGCCTGGCCTGTTTACCCATTTTAAACAGGAACATTAGCATTAAATCTATTCCACTTTCTTCTTTTCTTTCTTTTTGGCTGGGGCTGGGTTTGAACCTGCCACCTCCAGTATATGGGACCAGTGCCCTACTCCTTTGAGCCACAGGTGCCACCACTTTTTTCTTTTTTATAAGCACAGGTAGAGTGCAAGTGTGATGATAAGTAACAATTGATTCTTAGCCCTGGTTGTTGGGGGCAATAGGGAGTGGTGGGGACTATGGCCTGGACAGTTCTGGCAGCAGTTCTTCTTCATGTTAATTGTTTGTTGGCATAGGATATGCATGCTCCATGTTTCCAGGTACTCCAAATTAAAAAAAGTAGCCCAAAACCTGGATTTTAATGTACACTCTCTGAATTTTCAAATATTGCTTATTAATTTAATTTGGAGATAGACACCCAGCGGGGCAAATGAAACATCGTCTGTGGGCCAAATTGAGCCAGCTCAAGACCACCAGTTCACAATCTCTGGTTTTAACTGTCAAAAAGAACCATGAAACTACTATGTAGTATTGCTGTCCTAATCGCTATAGAAATATAGTTCTAAGAAAGTCAATTGTATTCCTAGTTGATGTGGTACTTTGTAAGCAATAAATACAGAATTAAGAAAAGCAAATTCCCTCTGGTCAATGATTTATAATAAAATAAAGTTATGCCCATCACAGAGGGGCTGCAATTGGGAAAAAATTCACATTCACAGAGAATGAGAGCAGATTAGGAAAGAAGCCACAAGTAGACACGATTTTGTTAGAATGTGCTTTGTCTTCTGTGTTTACTCTGCATGGGGCCATCCTTGCCTCAAGCTGCTTTGGCTGCCAGAGCCTCAGTCCCTTAAGAGCTCCCTCTGGGGTCCTGCCTTTCTCTTGCCAGTTGCACCCTCCCTGGGCTGCAGCCCTGATGATAAGAATACCCACCACTACCAATAAGAGAAGCCAATATCCAGTGATAGGCACTCAGATAAAAGCTTTATTTTCAGTAACACCCTGACTTTTCCCAACAACCTAGGAGGAAGAAAGTTTTTCACGCCTATTTTACAGATTTGCCCATGTTTCATATAGTTCCTAAATAACAGAGCCAGGATATCCAGGTAGTGTGACCCAGAGCTCAAGCTCCGAATTCTCACCTTCTCTACTGCTTCTTGTGTGTTAAGGAGTCCGTCTCCTTCGGTGACGGGGTCTCTCTATCCTAGAGGATCTTCTGATTAATTCTACATGATCTCTGAAACATCTGGAGACTTTGCCCACTCCCTCCCTGTCTAATCTTGGGCAATCTGTCACTCACTGAGTAGGTGACTTGGTAAATTATACCCTCTCTCTGGGCCTTAATTTCTCCTTTAATAAAACAGACAAGAGGGAAATGGCTGGATCAGCGTTCTTAGGATTCTGTCCATAGCAAATGTTCTGGGATCTCAAAATGCTCTGGGAACACCCAGGGCTTCTGTGGCCTTCAAGATCATGTGCATGCCCATTAAATGGCCTGTCATTGAAGGTACCAGCACTACAGCACCACCTTTCTGGTGCTCTCTCCAGACAAGAAGGTTCTTATCCATGTGTTGCTCTGACCACTGTCTTTCCATCCCATTTGCCCTTTGAACTCTCAGCAGACCCCAGAGTCTGGGTCAAATCTCACTTCTACCTTGAAGCCTCTCCTGTCTTCTTTGGGCCATGCATTGATTTTTCCTTTTTCAGAAAGCTATTTGCAGTAATCCCATACATGATCTCTCACATTTGCATAGCCACTTATAGTGGGCAGAGCACTGTGGTGTGCAAGTATTCCATTAAGATCAGGATCGTTATGTTCATAACACAGATGAAGAAATAAAAAGCCAAACCCAGGGAGGGATTTGCCCAACTTCACTCTGCAGCCAGGGCCAGGACTGGATTGAAACCTAGGTTGCTGATCCCCAGACCAGTGGCCTCTCTGCTGACCCCTCACTGCCTCTGCTGGCATTAACCCTTTCATTCCCATGTGCTTTGTGCCTCCAGTGCAATTTTGCTCTTGGGGGTAGGAAGCAGGTCTAACCCTCTTGATCACTTGCAGGCAGCATTGCTGAGTGGTTAGGAGCATGGATGTTGGCATCTGCCAGGCACTAGCCTTGGGTATGTTTTGAACCTCAGTTTCCTCATCTATGAAATGGGGATCGTGGCAGTACCATCCTTCCAGAGCTATTGTGGGATTAAATGAGATAACCCAGGAAAAGCAGTTAGCACAGGGCCTGGGACCTAATCCATACCCAATAAATGTTAGCAGCCATTTTCATTCCCATGCCACCTCCGCTACAAGGTTAATAGCATGGAAGGAGGTGACCTATCCTCTAGAGAGTGATACAGAGTGAAACCCAGGCATTGGCACAGAGCCATGGCCCGCAGTGGCTACCTGGTGCATCAGGAGGAGAGGCTGCTGGTGTTGGCCTGGGATCAGACCTGTCCAGATCCCAGCTGGCTTCAGTGTGCCTCCTCTTACCCAGGGACCTCACACTTTTGTGCCTGGTGTTAATCTTAATTTTAAAAAAGCTGCCACTTGGGGGGGTTACAGTGCCCTGTGCTAAGCTCTGTACAGGTGGGAAGGTCAGCTCTGCACCCCTTCACCTCCCCTAAAGGCTTTGGAGGCTGAAACTGGCTCATGTCCCCCATGTCTCATCACAGGGGGACATCACAGTGACATCTACTACCTGAACTGTTTCAAGAGAACAAAACAAAGATAAACTCTTGCCTTTCTGGAGCTTACATTCTGGTGAAAGAGGCAGAGGAAAGTCCTGAAATGCCAGATACATTAAAAAACATGTATTAGGGCCACTTTTGCTGCCTTTGTCACTTATGCCCCCCAGCAGGGCTGCTCCTCAAGTGGGTTCGTGCATCAGGCGTGCTGGATGGTGCACAGCAGCCAGGAGCTCCTTCCAGCTGTGTGACCTTGGGACATTCGCTCCCCCTCTCTGACTCTCGGTCTCTTCTATCATATAAGGAAATCAGGGCGATTGGCATTCCCATGGGCTGTGGAGAGGATTCCACCGGCGGCCTGTAAAAGAGAAGTGCTTGTCTGTGGGGCAGCCCGACAGGAACAGACGTGAGGACTGGAGGGAGCTGCGTCCTGCTTGCCCGGCTTTCCTCGCAGGTTACATAAGGCCGCCTTGGGTGGAGGCAGCAGCTGGGAGCGCAAGCCGTCGAGGGGAAAAGGGGCGTGGGGAGGCCGCCGGCGCGCCGGGATTCCCGGGGCGTGAGTGCGCCGCCGCTGCCCGAAGTGGGGAGCAGCGCGCAGGGGAGCGCAGGGCGCGGCGGAGTCGGGTTTCAGAGCGCGGGTGACTCAGGGCGCGGGCTGGGAGCCGGGAGCCAGGGGCCGGGATCCTGCCCGCCGCCCCGCTGCCAAGCGTCGCCTTTGTTCCTTGCAGGCAGGGAGAACGCGGCGGCCATCCCCCCGCGCCCCCTCGTCCTCCGCGGAGCTCCACCGCTCTGTTCCGCTCAGCGTGCGCCTTCGCGGGCTCCGCAGACTCACGAGATGGCGCCAAGGTAGGACCCACTTCCCTGCGCCCCGGGCCCCTCCAACCCTCTCGCCTCTTCACCTTCTCTCCCTCTCGCTCTCGACCACTTTTACAGGAGGAATGAGCAGCGCTGGTGCCTCATGCTGCTGCTTTCGGTCTCCCCGCTTCTCTCCGCAGTCACCCAGACCCGCGCGGCGACAGGTAGGAGATCCCGCCTGAGGGTAGCACCAGCTCCCCTCAGCGCCTTGGGGAAGTTGGTTTTGGCTGCGGGCGCGGCTGTGGTGCGCGCCTCATTCCTGGACATAAAAGGGAGTCCTCCGTGCGCATTGGAGGTCCTGCTGGCAGCTTCCTCTGGGCAGTGTAGGGGCTATCGCCATGGATGGGGCCCCTGGGCAGCGGCGGCCGGTGGAGCGCTGTCTGGGCACCGGAGGTGTTTGAGCCAGGCTCAGCCCCTCCAATCATGGGCAGAGAGACTTTGGAGGCACAGTGACAGCGCCAGCGACAACAGCCTCAGAGCATCTAGCGCCCGCGCTCCGGTCGTGCGCGCTGGCTGGCTTCTGGTAAGGGCAGGTCTGGAACGCTTTCCGCACACAGGTGCGAAGCGTGACTACCAGCAGGGACGCCTGGCGTTTTTGCCGCCCAAGAAATAATGGAACAGAATTGCTCCGATGCAGAACTTAGCTCTGAGTTACCTACCCGGTGACATTTACTACGGGTAGCGGCTCCTTGGGTGATGGAAAGTGCTAGGAGCCACAGGATCTGCTCGTTGGGCTTTAGTTAACTCCAGCAGAATTCAGGAGATAGGATGAATAGTGGGGTCTGAGTTTAAAACAGTTTTCGGTTAAAGTCACGGTGTGCAGGTTTGAATTGTGACTCGGCTTCGTGGCATTGGTTGAGGAATTTCAGCTCTCTGTGCCTGTTTCCTCATCTGAAAAAGAGGAGTAATTAGGCCATCTAACCTCCTAGGGATGCTGTGAAGATGAGCGGAGAAATAGGAATAACGTGCTTTCCATGCTCGTGGCACATGTTAGGCACAGAATAAGTGATGGAAGTCACTGCTTGATTCTTGTAATAACTATGTGTTGGAAAGCAGAGCAGGCAATTAAAAAATACTGAGGTTCAGAGAGGCTTAGAGAGTGGCTAGTTCAAAATCCAGGACTTGAGCCCAGGCTTCTAGGCTCCTGTCCCTGCTGGCTCTTTTCTTGAGCAGTTCTGCAGAAGAGCTACCCTTTCCAAATGGTAGCTCCAGACTCCTTTTGGATTTAGAGAATCAGTACACAGTTCAGTCTAATAAGGGAGAGGGAAGACTAGGAAACACTCTTTGGTCCCTTGAAGGGAACTGGGGATTGAGAGGGTGGCTTTGGTTAACTCTTCGTTTGCCTGAGGAAGCCCAGGACCACCCAGACCATTGTATGCTTGAGAGCAAGACCCAAATGCCATGAAAGCTTTTTCTGCCAGAGCATCCAGCCTGGCATTTCTTGCAGATCAAAGGGCAGCTGGAGCATAGTTTTGGCCTCTCAGCACCATAGCCCATGTCAGAACATTGCAATTTTGCACGTGATAGAGAGCACTGCCAAGTCAGAGGCAGAAGGCAGTTTGGACTCCATGGTCTTCTGTGAACTTTGCTGAAGCGTCCAGTTTCCTAAAAGGAAGAGGGATCTGGAGAAAGAAACTTGGGTGTTTCTGTCTCCTCCTACATGTGTATCCTGGATCCTCAAAGCTGGGTGAGGGCCGTTGTTTCTAACACAGAAGAAGTCCTGTTGCCATCCTTAATGTAAAGCAAGGCCAGAAAACCCTCAGGAGCCACCAGGGGCCCAGGGAGATTCATTTGCATCTGATGGGCTTTCAGTGCCCCTTTGGGAATATGAAAAGAATTTTTAGAAATGCAAACTATTCTCTTGCAAACCAGATTTCTTATGCAGTTTAATATGGCTAGTGTTTATAAAACATTCCATGTGTCTGGGTGGAGGTGTGAACTTGTTCATATTTCATTCATCTAATCCTCACAATCTCCAGGAGGTGGGGACTGAGGGCTGTTACTATCTCTGTCATTCAGATGAGGAAACAGAGGTCCAAAGTCATATAAGCCTTCTAAGTGGCAGGGTAAGATTTGAACCAGATAGTCTGACTCCAGAGTCCTTGCTCTTAATCATCCTACTATTCAGTTAGAAGAACGTCAAAGGTAGGGAAGTTTTTAGAGGCCCTAGTCTCCAATGAGCCCCATGATTGGAGTGTCACAATCTTAACATGAGTCTATTGCATCTGTGTGGAATTGTATAGTCTACAAAGTACTCACCCTCCACCAAGTCATGGGATCTGCCTCCTAGCAAAGCTAGAAAGTAAGCTGGGCTTCTTCATACGGAAGGAAGTTGACTTCTTCAAGACCACAGAGTTGTAATTGGGTAGGTACATGATAGCTCTCCCACATCTGTGAACCCCAAGACTGGCACTATTTCTCCTATGGGACCACTTCTCAACTGGCTATAAAAAACTATTGCCAAAACTTTATAGCACTAATATGAACAGCAGTTTCTAAGTGCTAAATGAACTCGTTCAATTTTCACAGCAACCCCATTTATTATCCCCTTTTACAGATAAGGAGACTGAAAGGCACGAAGCCTTTAGTGTCAGAAGTATGATTTGAACCCAGAGGGTCTGACTGCAGAATCTGTACTCCTACGCACTATGCCATATGCTCAGTCAGGGTCGCTTCTGAAAGCATGTTTGCAAGTGGAATATTAAGAGCTTAAAATGCATTTTCCCAACAGTTTGACAGTTTCTTAAAAAGTTAAACATCTACCCTACAACCTAGCAATTCCACTCCTAAGTGTCTATTTAATTGAGAGGAAAGCATATGTATACCCAAAACTCAAATGTGAATGTTCATAGCAGCATTATTCATAATGGCGTAAAATGGAAACAAACTGGTTCATCAGCTGGTGAACAGATAAAGAAAATGTGGTATGTCCATTCAGAGGAGTGCTACTCAGCAATGAAAAGGAATGAAGTACTGATAAATGCCAACAACATGAATAAACCTTTAAACTATTAAACCACATGAAGGAAGCCAGACATAAAAAACTATGTAGTAGAACCTCTGTAAGTTGACCATCCAAGGGACTGTAACAAACTGGTCAGCATATGAAAGTGGTCAATATAAGGAAGTAGGTCTACTGTGCTGATAAATACATGTGGTGCAGGTCCGGTCTATGAAAATTAGGTCAAGTTAAGGTGGTGGTCAATGTAGGGAGGTGGTCAACTATGGAAGTTCTACTATATATTGTAGGAGTCCATTTATATTAAGTTTCTAAAAAGGCAAAACTATAGAAACAAAACAGCTTGGCAGTTGCCTGGGCCAGCGATAGAAATAGGGATTGACTACAAACAGGCATGAGGGAACTTTATGGGGAATGTTCCCTAAAGCTGGATTGTGGTGATGACTGTATAACTTAATAAATTTACTAAAACTCATACATAACTGTACATTTAGAATGGGAGAATTTTATGGAACATAAACTATACCTCAATAAAGCTGTTTATAAAAACAAAAGAATGAATTTTCCCAGAGAATCTAGGTTCCAGGTCTGGCGGGGCTTCAAGGTGGGGTACTGCTGGCCTCATAGCGTGCTGCTTCTCTGGGAGTTCCACCTGCACTTCCAGGCCTCCAGCTATACTGTCCCTGCTGTCCCTGAATGCCATTGGGTGAGGGGCAGGGGAAGAACACAGACATATGGTGATTTGAAGATAATGGATCAGTTAAAAAGTCTTTGTAAGCTTCCTGGCATTCCACCCCCACCCCAAGGAAAAAAAAAAACAAACCCAAAATCCAAGCACTGGGAAACTTGGGTTTCATCATTGACTTCCTCTGTGAACTTAGATGAGTCACTTTCCCCACCCTGAGCCTCAGTTTTCTCATCTATAAAATGAGGAGGTAAGATTCTCTCGTCTCTGTAAGTCTTTCTAATTTAAAATGTTGGAAAACAAAACAAAACAACATTTATCTAGTTTTATGTTTAATTATTCCACGGTTTAGTTCAACAAGTACATACTGAGCACTGACTCTGCATCAGCATTCATGCTGGAGGGGTAGAGAAAGGATTTGGGCATAGAACTGTTCTAGGGGCTTGTAGTTCAGAGGCAGAAGGACAGGGTCAGAGACAAATGAAACGGAGCTTTTCCTAGAGCTCTTCTCATCTAACTTGCCACGTGTCTTGTATGCAGCCAAACCCATGGTCCTGCATTGTCTTGTTTAGAGAGATCCTTGTCAGCTGGGTATCACCACATGGCCTCTTGTGCCCCTAAGGGGTCAGGGCTGAGCTAGAGGACAGGATCAATGTTCCCTTTCCCTGCAAAGTTTCAGTGTCATTGGAATACCCAGTAGTTTAGAAAATAAGGGGCTATTGTCAGGGCAGTGATGGTGGTGTCACAGGTAATTTGTTCTTGTTAATAAAGTGCTTATAGGTGCAAACTATTTCATTTCCTTTAGCCTGTTTTATTGTAAAATATAACATCCATTCAGAAAAGTACATGTAAGGTCATTAAGGTAAAAAATAATAATAAATAAATAAATAAATAAGGTTAGCAACCAGAAGCTGTCCTGTGACCCTTTGCTGTGATTTTTTTCTCTTTTTCCTCTCAGAGGTAACAATTACCTTGACATTAACAATCATCACTTCCTTCCTTTTTTTTTTTTTTTTTGAGATAGGATCTCACTATGTGACTCCTAGTAGAGTGCTGTGGTGTCACAGCTCACAGCAACCTCAAAGTCTTTGGGCTTAAGTGATTCTCTTGGCTCAGCCTCCCAAGTAGCTTGGACTAAAGGTGCCTGCCACAACAACAGGCTATTTTTGTTGCAGTTGCCATTCTAGTTTAGTTGGCCCAGGCTGGGTTCGAACCTGCCACCCTCGGTGTAACGTAACCACTGTGCTATAGGCGCCGTGCCACTTCCTTTCTTTTTAAAAATATCTTTACTACTTAAGTATGTATCTCCAAATTTTGGAGTTCTGTTTTATTTGGTTATGAATTTTTTACATACAGCAAACATTCTTTGGTGTTTGACATTTTCAGTGAATATTAAATTTTTGAGATTTATTCATGCCATTGTATGTGGTTGTAGTTCATTTCCATTGCTGTATAATGTTCCATTGTGTTAATATATCATATGCTATTTATCCATTTTTTCCCAACAACATTTAGGTCAT